GTTAGGCTTAGTATATATTCTTTTTCTCACTTTTTCTGTGGCAGTCATGGGGGAAGGGTTTTAGGCTTGCTACATTCCTAAGGGGGAGGAGTGGAGATAGAGAGAGTTGTTTAGGCTAGGTGATTCTTCTTCCCCTGGGAAAACGAGCTTTCCGTGCTTAGGCCCCTTGAGGTGGAGATTTATGACATCAAGCAATGTTGAATTACTTTTATCGGAGAATGTGACTTTTGGGGGTTGTTTCTAACTTCTAATATTGTGGGGTAATTCCGGGTTGTGTCAGATCCGGAATTACCACGGACTTTGCCAATTTGATATTTTTCTAAATAAAAGAAATTGTCTTGGAAGATGGACTTTGTTCTTTTCTTTTTAAATGGATTTCATCACTTGGAAACCTGACATTGTGTTGACCCAAAATTTGTGTTCTTAAGTGAGATATCTGTTAAGTGAGTTTGGTCCCATTTTACGACCTTTCTTGCCACGGTTGTTAAGTGAATCCCTGCAGCTGATAAGTCAATAAGCCAGTTATTAAGTGAATCAGGCTCCTCCATTGACTTTGCTTGTCAGAAGGTTGCAAAAGGTCATCACATGACCTTAGGACACAGCAATGGTCATAAATATGAACCAGTTGCCAAGCATCTGAACTTTGATCACATGATCATGGGGATACTAAAAGGTTGTAACTGAAAAATGGTCATAAGTTATATTTTTCAATGCCGCTGTAACTTTGAACAGTCACTAAATAAACTGTTGTAAGTCGAGGACTACCTGTAGTGAAAAGTATTAAAATTAAGTTTAATTAATTTGGGAAATAATTAAGAATTTTAACATATGTAGTTGAATTCCTGTTCCCATTTAGCTCATGCTGTAAAGCAGGGGTGGGCAAACTACGGACCGCGGGCCACATCTGGCCCGTTGGTCTTTTTAATCCGGCCCGCCGAAGATTGGTACAGAATTAAGGTTTGATGTGAATGATTGAATGATTGCATTCATTTGATTTTGACTTGTAATGACAGGCATTTCGACACCAGGTAGCGGCCCGTCTGTCAAATTTTAAAAGTCAATGAGGCCCCCGAGCCAAAAAGTTTGCCCACCCCTGCTGTAAAGCCATGATTACAACAATATAATACCCATACAGCCTGCTCCCATTCAAATCCTTCACCTTCGTCCAATATATTTTGAAATAGAGTTGAACTAATGAGCAGCCCTTGAATCCCTGAACTTGTAGATATAATAAATATGCCTGCATAAAATTTGCTCCCCTGACTGACGAGCCTTATTTTGCCTCAGCAACAAGCACAGCAAGTTGTGCTCTCATTACAGTTTTAATGAGAGGGATGAGTTGAGGAATGTGATTGGTGCATTCCTTTGATTTTGCTTCTGCTCCCATGAAGTGTCACATACTAGCAGAAATGATAACCTCTCTAATATAGATCAGAAATGGGGGAAGAAATACATTTGGATAGATGATTAGATCTCTCCATGCATCTGAAAAGAGGCTTTCTAAACCATATAAACTCCTGCAGTCCTCATAGATATTAATAAGATATATTACAGGTAATCCTCAACTTATGACCATAACTGAGTCCAAAATTCATTTATTATCATTATTATTATTAACATACGCTATGATGCTAAGGAGTTCTACTCCCCCTCCCCATCTGAAAACAAATCTGTTCCAAATGCAAAACACAAGCAGAGGAAAGGAGTTTCAGTTTCACAGCAGCAAGCAGCTTTAGTACAGAACAGTTGAGCTAAGCCACACCCAGGCTCCTTGCTGTCTCCTTCTTGCTCACATAGCAAATACTGTTTCAGTTTCCAAACAACCCTCAACTCTCTCAAACACTGACAGGACGCTAGCCAGATGAATACCGATGGATGTTGGGAGGCAGAGCCAGAATTTTTTTCTCCTTATTTTTCTCCCCCAAAACTAAGCCCGATCTCATAGTTTTGTAGCGAAGCACGGGTATCAAGCTAGCATATGAGACATTGGGTGTTTTGCTCCATACTTCATGGCTTACAGTGGAACTATTCTATGGGTACTAGTAGAATAGAAACTATTTTATAGATTCTCTGAAAGAGGATCACAAGTCTGTCAACACATAAATATAACTATACGGTTAGTATTCTAGCAGTACGTTCAAATTCTACATTAAGGCATCTGTCCTATCTTTCTTGTTACTGAACCAGGAAATTTAAAAAAATCCAGAAGACCTAAATAATGAACCATGTCCATAAGGTTGCTAAGAAAATTATTTTGGTATCTCCATGTAGTTATCAGCTGAATTCAAACCAAGGTCTTACCGGAAGTAAGGCTGAGAGCTAAATAAAATTAAATAGAGGACCACAGTGATATCACCTCCATCTCACTCCCACGAGAAGTCATCATGATCCTGCTCTGTTGTTCCCATACCTGGACCTGAAACCCGGATGGAAAGAGTCTAGATAATCTACCTGAATGGAAAGAGTCCAGATAATTTAGGACCTTCTGAAGCTGCAGCGTAACTACCTTAACTATCTTTTCTAAAAAGCTGGAGATATAGTAAAAATTGTCCAACACACTTGATCCATTGACGGCTTCTTGAGAAAGGAAACTACCACATCTCTCAAGGATAAATGCGCCATTGCCTAGACTCAGTTACACATCATTATCTAGGAGGATTAAACCAGGAGGTATATGGAGCTAATATACAGGAGCTAAGAACCCTGTCCACTTCCTCAGAACTAAACAAAAATCACATTTATTCCAGATAATAGAGCCAGAGTGTCCTTCTATCAACTTTGTAGGAACTGCTGGTGTATATCTGGCTCTATTCTTCCAAGGACTGACCAAATCATTTTGAACAGAGTCACCAGCCAACAATCTGAAGATGCAATATGGGTAGAAAAACAACTATGTTTTGTTGCCATTTATCACAGGTGGCCCTTAAGGGTAAGATTTAAAAAAAAGATTATTTCCCTTTAAATAAACTTAAAACCTCCCTAGAATAGTTTAAGTACAATATTCTGTAATCTATTTTATTCTTCAACGTTGGTGCTTGATACTTATAATTCATGCCATTCATGCTGAGTAAACTATAAATAAGCCAGTTTGAAAGGAAAACTGCCATAGACAACTGTGAGTACTATTGTAGCAATGCCAAAATTCCAAAGAATTCTGTGATAACTTGATGGAAATTATGAAACAAGTTTACTTGTGTAGAGTTTACTTTGATATATTAAACTTCATAAAATGCAATTGCAATTTTTGTAGTTGAGGATTAAACCTGTCAATAACGCAAACCTAAGAAGGACACCAACAAACCTGGAGCCATCCTACCATTCCAGATCTATTCCAGCTAACTGAAGAGCTTCCATTATAGTGTCTACAAAATTTTCTCACTCTAACATACATCACTTTGACTTCAAAAAGAAAACACAAAGTAACAACACTTGGCTATCTTGATGTTGTGAATCTGTTAACACAATAAGTTCCACCCTCACTTCTCTAGAAAAAAAAATGAAAAAAATCCACCTAGTTTTCTTTCTTCACTATCAACTATCACTATCAACTTTGCAGGATCGCTCTTCACTGACTGCAACTTGATTTTTTTTTCTACTGCAATTTCTTTCACTAAGTTGGCCTTTTGCCTAGGTGAAGCAGCTACAATCTATTACATCGTTAATGCTTTAGAAATTAGCAGAATGTTTCTCAATCTTATTGAAAACTTTAAGCTGTCTGGAATTCAACTGCCAGAATTCCCCAGCCAGCAGAATTCTGGCAGTTGAAAGTGAAAACACTGGATTAGCATAAGAAAGCATAGAAAAATATATTTATATATGTTAATGAAAGTCAACCGTCCCTGAGATATAGCAGGGCACACATCTTAGTTATCATTACGCACGCTTGCATGCGGAAGTCCCCAGGGCTCAAACTCCGGTATTTCCAGACAAACTTTGAAGCAGCTACCGAGTTGCATTAAAGAATATACCACGACTGCGTTCACCCGATATACTTATTTCTGATTTAAGTTAATCACAGCGTATGGAGTTAACTCACTTTTCTGGTTTAGTCTGTTACTACTTGTGACCGTGCAGCCTGGTTATGTACAAACCTAACATGCACAGACCCTCTTCCCCTTTCAATTCGGAGTTCTCCCCAAAACTTAACCCAAGCAGCATTTTCCCATCCTCAGCCATTGTCTATGGAGATTCTCAAGTCATCCAGGTCATGGCTGTTCCCAAGGTGCTTTTTTCAAGAGGCAACTGGACTTTTTAGGTTTTATTTCTTTGAAGACGTTTCTCTTCTCATCCAAGAAGCTTCTTTACATCTTCAAAGAAAAACCAGAAAGTCCAGTTGCCTGTTAGAAAGAGAGAGAAAAAGCACCTTTGGGTCATCCTCAGCCATTGTTACAACCCTCCAGATAGTTTAGATTCTACCATTAAAAGTTTAGAAACGGGCTTCCATCCTGCAAAGCGCGGCCGATATATAGATTGCTGTTCTTCCTGGGCTTGGAAGTTATTACGGAATTAACTCTTTACACACACAAAAAGGAGGGGACGGAAAGAGACTCCTAAGGCGACCGATACCGCGGGCTCCCCTCTCCCTTAAGAAGCCCATTTTCGCAACTCGGTCATGTCTTGCAAGCGGGAGGGACTTCGCAAGCGGTTCTGCAGGAGGAGAACGGAGGGGAAAACCCGCCTTGGGCAAAGCGGGAAGGGAAAGCCGAATTTCAATACGCTGTGGGGAAACCGCGGCGAGGGCGGCTGCCCGCGGTGGGTCAGCCCGCGATATCGGGCGCCCGGCCCCCTCATGCCTCAGTACCTCAGTCCCCGACGGGCGCCCACCAGGCCTGTCAGCCCCCTAGAAGAGACAGCGACACGCTTCAGCCAACCCCGGCTTTGCTCCGCCCCCTTGGCCCTCGGCGTGACTGACTGAGCCGAGCTAGCGCTTTTTTTTTTTAAGGCGCGCGCATGCGTGGTGAAGGCCGGGGCCGACGGAGCGGGCGGATCCTTACGGGACCCGGTGACGTGTCTTGCGTTCCAGCTGCCCGGCCCGGCGCGGCTCTTTGCCGGCCTGGGTTTGGCGTGTCGGGTGGTGGTGGTGGGGAGAGAGAGAGAGAGAGAGAGAGAGAAGAAAGGGCGACGGCGAGAAAGGCGGAGTGTCACCGGAAGGCGCCTGTTCAACAACCTCGGCTGCCCGCCGCTTTGGAAGGGGAAAAGCCCGCCCGCCTTGAGCCATGTTCAACGTCGAGAGCCTGGAGCGGGCCGAGCTCGGGGAGAGCTTGCTCACTTGGGTGAGTGACGGAAGGCCTCGGGCTGAGCAACGTCGACGCTGTCACCCCGGCTTGGCCTTGCCTGTCTTTCCCTGTCACCGCCGGTCTCCGAAGTAGCGAGGCGTAGTTAGTCTTCTGAAGTTGAGCTTTTTAATTCTGGCCTGAGATACAGGGGTGGGGGTTCAGATGAACGTGAGAAGCGGGAGGGTTAGGTTGGCCGGAGAATCGGGGTGGATGGGCTTGCAAATGGCTCTGAGTGAGGGTCTGCAATCGCGGGCGAAAGGCTGCTTCTTTTTGTTCTTGGCGGAGGAGGCAGGGGTGCTGCTCTTTACCGGGGCTGAGTTAAAATAGCTGTCCTTTCATCCCTTCAAAAGCAGCCCACCCCCCCATGCATTTCGCATCTTTCAGATGCCGTAGGGACTTTCTTCCTGATCCGTGGCTGGTAAAAAGTTGACTGTTTGGGCTGCTTCATTGCTGTACAATCCTGGAAAAGAAAGGGCGGAGATAGCAGTAGCGCTTAGACTTATATTCCGCTTCACAGTGCTTTACAGCCCCGCTCTAAGCCAGAGTCAGCCTATTGCCACCCGCTCATTTTATTTTATAAATAGTGTTGATACCTTATGATTTATTATGAATGTATTTTATGATGACTGCGATCATGATTTATCACTTATTGCTTGTATGTACACTGAGAGCTTTTTATGCACCGGAGACAAATTCCTTGTGTGTCCAATCACACATGGCCAATAAATAATTCTATTATATTATGTTCTATTCTATTTGCCGATGTTGGAAGAATGGAAGGCTGAGTTAACCTTGAGATACTTATTATTTAAGATGTGTTGCTCTTTGGGTACAAGGTGGTTAATATTTTTGTGCCTCTGGAGATTATTTAGAATCTTTGCAATTGTGGTGAATGTCTGTATTCGGAATATAATTTAGAATCTGTCTAGTCAAGAATATTAAAATGTTATCTAGTTTGGTATATCCATATTAGTTTGCTGTCTCTGTACTCTGTTACCACATCCTGTTGTGATCGCATTATGAATTGGTCTCCTGCATTCCTTTCATGTAGGGCATGCATAAGTATTTCTAGTGGGAGAGAGGAATTATTTCTATAGGAGTGCTTGTTTGTTGGTGTACAAAGATGCAGTTTTATATTGAAGATGTATTGGGTGTTTTTCTCTATGCGTAAGGTACCATGGAGAGAGAAGATGAGTCCCAACATGCATAGTATTTCAGGGTTGCATCCAAACCAGTCTGTGCGCATTCAACTAGATAGGTGTGTGGGCATTTAAAATGTTTACATTCTTGCCACACATAAATCCATATTAAAAACACGGTTATTCATGATTGTCCTAATCCTCCCAAAAGAAGTGTTATGGCTTTTTCATAAAGAAAACATTCTATCACTTCAGTCTAGCATACTGGAGAATAAATTGATAGAGCAAGTGAGATTGCATAAGTTACTGCCATTTGCAAATCTATCTTAAAAGATTAAATCATGACAACTGGACAAAAGTTTATTAAAAACTGAGATGTTTCATTGCTCATGCAAGTAGCTTCTTTAATCAAAATGAAAATTTGGGTAGGCAGAGAGTCAGTCATTGGAAAGAACCAATTCTTGCCATACAGACTGCAAGGAATTTCTCCCCCAAATGGAAAATTTTAATAAACTTTGGTCCAGTTGCCATGATTTAACCTTTTAAGATACTTTTGGCCTCGATAATGGAATCTTCATTTACAAGCCATTTGCAGACTTAAGCACAATCTGCTTTTGATTAAATTCATGAAGAAAATATATTTGAGAAATAGACTATCTTCAGATTACATCTAGACTTTAAATAAAAATTTACACACGAACGACAGAGAGGGAAGGTGACGAGGAATGAAAGTAATATACTATGATGGTGCAAGCCCCATTTCTTTTGTACATGTACATATATGAAAGAGGAGAGCTTGCATTCCAATCACATGATGCTGCATTCATTATGTTGACAAAAGCATCAAATGCTTCTGGAAGTGGACAATTCCGTATCAAAGTATCATTGATTTAAAATATTCCTAGAAATATCTTTTCATGGATTCTATCATTAATTACTCCATAGTACTCTATTTCATGTGGCATGAAACTTTACTAATTATTTTATAATTATATGAAATTATAGAGATTGGGGGCGGCATTTCTCAAAGTGCAGTCTGACAACCCCTCGGATTCTCAAGGCCACCTTAAGGGTCTGTAAGATCAACAACTACGTTGAAAAATGATGTAGTAAAAATCCCATCAAACAATTGTGGAAAGCGGTAGTAGCAGCAAATGTATCAGTGTTCATTTTTAATACAGTAAATATAGATAAATATAACCCATATAAACAAAGTTTTTTTAGAACCCACCACAATTCTTAAAAGTGGGGAGAAAAAATGTTTATAAAACATTGATTTAGGCAGGGTATAGTTTAGAGCAGGGGTCTCCAACCTTGACAACTTTAAACCTGGCGGACTTCAACTCCCAGAATTCCCCAGCCAGCTTTGAAGTCCGCTAGGCTTAGCTTTGCTGGCTGGGGAATTCTGGGAGTTGAAGTCCGCCAGGTTTAAAGTTGCCGCAGTTGGAGACCCCTGGTTTAGAGTATAATTCACTAAATTATTTTAGAATTCCTGCAATGATTCTGTTAGATTTTATTGGAAAATAAATTAGTAATAATTTTATTGGTAACTAAAGGAGACAGAAAATTGCTTTCTTATGTGCTTACTTATGCTGCTTGTGCTGCTGCGTGGTGTAGTCTCTAGGATTAATCTTCAAGGGCAGCCCCTTGTAGAGACCATTGTAATCCAATTAAGAGATGATCAAGGCATGAGTCACTGTCGGAAAGGCCTCATGATTGAGGCAAGGATGCAACTGGTGCACAAAATGAACCAATGCCTCCTGATCACTGCTGCCCCAACTATATGCCATAGCTGCGATGTCAGAAGGACCCCCAAGTTGCACACCAGTCTTAACCTCCACAACCTAGAGGATCCAAACAGTTTTGTAGGATTGAGCCAAAGTCTGTCCTGCCCAGACCTGAACAGCGTCCAAGCTCTAGGTCAATATACTGACAGCTTCAACTGTGCTGCTCAGGATAAAGATGTAATGTTGGGTTTCATCAGCATAGGAATGATCAGCTTGAACTAGCAGATGAACCCACCCAATGGTTTCATGCAGATGTTGAACAGGAGAGAGTAGAGAATCAAGTCTTGACATACCCTACACCAAGGGCGCCATGAACATGATCTCTCCCCCCCTCCCCACAAACACCAGCTGGAAATGACTGCTAAGGAAGGAGGTAAATCAGTGGAGCATTGTGCCTCCCATTGCTAACTCCTGCAGCTGGACTAGAACAAGTCAACAATATTCAGTACTGAAAACTGCTGAGAGATCCAGGAACACTGAGTAGATGAAAGCTGCATCCACACCCCAGTATTTTGAGGCCTACTCTGAAAGTCAACCTTTGTAGGAAAAATATCAGCTTATGGGCCACTATTTTTTTTCCTCTTTCTTAAAACCAAAAGCAGCATAATTTTTGAAAAGAAAAAGTAAAGCTAGTAATCATTAATTAAACCTGCTTATAACTTAATTAAAATAAAATGTTACTATTTTGTAGATATGGTGAAAATAGTACTAAACTTTTTTATACTACTTTATATAGCGAGAGCCAACTGTTATCAATTTCCTTATGATTCCACTGAAGAGTTTAATTCAGACACAAAAACACTAGCCTTAAATATATTCCTCAGGCTCCACAACAGCTTTAACCATTATTATGAATGGACTCTTTGGTTATCCAGCTTTGGAAAAAAGTATGTAATGTAAATTCTGCATTGAAGCCAAGCCCTCAAATAAATCAGATTTTCAAGTACTTCCATATAATAGCCTAGAAATTTCATGAAGTTGTCATATGTAGAGCCAATCAATTACTTTGGCTGGTTTTGTCATAGGATTGCTAATTTGAAATAATGTATAATAAGGAATTATCACAAATTCTCAGGCAATATTGTTAAAATGTATCATTATTTGACCCAGAATTAAAGTCTTACATGTTTGAGCACTGTAATAAACTGTAACAAAATGTTTGAAAAATATTTTCAGTTTTCTCTTGTTATGTGTATTAATTTTAACTGCAGAAATTGTATTGTGTTTAAAAACATATCCAAGATAGGATAGAAATTAAAATATTGAGAAAATTCATACTGATTTCTAAACAGTTTAGTTAATATAAAAATAATTTATAATCGCATATAGTACATAACATAGAAAATAACATAGTGCAAAAATAATTTTCTGGTAGCAATTAAAATTCATCGTCATAGTCTAATTCTCAAATACTATTCAGGACTCAGTGGTTCAAAATATTTTTTATTATTTTACTGTTATACTTGTGTTTGGCATTATGGCCTGGTATCCAAAGAAGCAGATACACAGAGTTAATATTATCTGCAACTTTTTGTGCATTCTTTTTCATACAGTAATACTTTGGCAGTGAAACAGTAGGTTTTGAAAATTGACTTTTAGCATAGTAACAGCCTAAAAGAGCCATTTGTGTGTCACAGTAACAAGAAACAGAAGCTGAATTCAGATGTAAAAAAAAAAATCTAGTACATCATGGTTTATTGCAGGGGTTTTCAAACTTTTCTGTGGAGCTCTAGTAACTTGGATTCTGTAGAATCCTAGGGAACATGTCAGAGTTCTGGGAAAGACTAAAGGAAAACAAATACTCCATTTACTGGAATAGATCCAGTTTTCTATCTCTTAGAGTTTTGCCTTTTCATCAAGTGTTCTGAGAAATTTTTTAAAGGAACAAATTCCATAGTCTGAAAAAGCTTGAAAACTCCCCACTTATTGGATTGAGAATGGATCCTGTACATTCTTTTATCTGCTTTAATTTGGGAATTCTGTATGTCATTGACCAACTAGGAAATGCACTAAGTAAGTTTTGAACTTTTGAGTTCAGATTCAGATTCCACAAGAAATTTAGATTTATTGT